AGCTATGACTACAGGCATGTTTCCCCCCCCCCAGCTTTTTTTTTTTTTTTTTTTTTTTTTTTGTAGATAGGGGTTTCACTGTTGCCCCGCCTGTCCCAAACTCCTGGTCTCAAGCAATCTTCCTGCCTTGGCGTCTCAAATTGCTGGGATTACAGGCATGAGCCATCATATCCAGCATCTCTTTTATTTATTTATTTTATTTTATTTTATTATTATTATTTTTTTTTTGAGACGGAGTCTCGCTCTGTCACCCAGGCTACAGTGCAATAGCACAATCTCTGCTCACTGCAGCCTCTGTCTCCTGGGTTCAAGCAATTCTCTTGCCTCAGCCTCCTGAGTAGCTGAGATTATAGGCATGCACCACCACGTCCAGCTAATTTTTGTATTTTTAGTAGAGATGCGGTTTTACCATGTTGGCCAGCCTAGTGTTGAACTCCTGACCTCAGGTGATCCGCCCGCCTCAGCCTCCCAAAGTGTGATGATTACAAGCATGAGACACTATGGCCAGCCCCAGCATCTCTTTTAAAAAGAAAAGTTATAGAGTTGAAATATTTGCTCTCACAGTCCACTGTAATGCTAAACATAAGTAAGATTACATATGTTCTTTTAATTAAGCCTCATGACTCGACGGTAAGGCTGTGGTTGGTTTCTTTTGCAGAAGAAGGAACTGAATCATAAAAATTCAGCACTTATCCAAATTAATACAAGCAGTCTCAAAGTGGCAGAGCTGAGTTACAAATTCATGTCTGCTGGTTCCAAAACCTGTCTCTTCCTGCCACTAAGAAACCTTTGGATGTGGCTCCTAGGAAACATAAAATGTCCAAAGATGTGACAAACCTGAAAGCCAAAATGTGGAATATCAAGAATTATATTAGATACTAGAAAGAACAGACAACAGGAAAGGGGAAGAGATGAAGTTTGTCATAAATGAAGATGGACTCAGTGTCAGAAAGCAGAGACCTGGGGCCAAGAACGGAGGCTTATGCCAGTAATTCCAACTCTTTGGGAAGCCAAGGTGAGAGGATCGCTTGAGCTGAGGAATTCAAGACCAACCTGGGCAACATGATGAGACCTCATCTCAAAATAAAAGGAGGGAGGGAGAAAGCAAACAAGCAAACAGAGACCCAAAACCTAATATATTCCATAATACCCTGTAGACTTAGGAATCATGAGCTTGTTAATGTAAGTATGTTGTGATGGAGAAGTATGAGGAACAGGTATTCTCCTCTCTCCTGTATAGCTGGAAGGAGTTAAGCTGCATGTCTCTTTAAGACAATTTGGCATTATGTTATTTGGCAAAATTAAAAGATACAAATATACCTTGACCCAGCTATTTCACTTCCGGGAATTTACTCACACATTTACATGCAGAAAAAGTAAATACAAGGTTACTGTATGCAACAACAAAAGACTTAGGTGCCTACTAAGAGTAGATCAATTAAATAACATTCATTAAATAAAATGCTATACTCCCATTGAAAAACACAAAGGCAGGTCCTCTGAATGTGTTGATATGAATAATTTCAAGGTTTTTTTTTTTTTGAGAAGGAGTCTCACTCGGTCGCCAGACTGGAGTACAGTGGCACAATCTTGGCTCACTGCAACTTCTGCCTCCAGGGTTCAAGCGATTCTCCTGCCTCAGCCTCCTGAGTAGCTGGAATTACAGGTGCACACCACCACACCTGGCTAATTTTTGTATTTTTAGTTCACCATGTTGGTCAGGCTGGTCTCGAACTCCTGACCTCATGATCCACCCCCCGCCCGCTTGGCCTCCTACAGTGCTGGGATTACAGGTGTAAGCCACCTCGCCTGACCTTTTTTTTTTTTTAAGGCTAGTCAAGTGAATCAGTGGGTAAGTTCTATAATTAAGTGAAAAAAAGAAGGTACTCAACACTGTGTACAGCATGATACTATTTGTAAAAAAATGTACAACTACACAGATATATATTTGGTCATATGAGGATAAAATACAGTATGTACATATATAGCTTTAAGAATTCATGGCCAGGAGCAGTGGCTCACACCTGTAATCCCAGCAGTTTGGGAGGCCAAGGTAGGTGGATCACCTGAGGTCGGGAGTTTGAGACCAGACTGACCAACATGGAGAAACCCCATCTCTACTAAAAATCCAAAATTAGCTGGGTGTGGTGGCGCATGCCTGTAATCTCAGCTACTCAGTTGGCTGAGGCAGGAGAATTGCTTGAACCCAAGAGGCGGAGGTTGCAGTGAGCCGATATTGCGCCATTGCCATTGCACTCCAGCCTGGGCAACAAGAGTGAAACTCTGTCTCAAACAAACAAACAAAAAAGAATTCACAAGAAGCTGATATTGGTAGTGGCTTTAGGGAAGGAAAAGGTGGGACTAGAGAAAGGGTAGAAAGATCTATTTTTTTCACTGTATACACTTAAATGTTGTTTGAAATGTTTGCCTTTTTCAAGAATTACTCATTCAAAAAAATTAAATGAAAACAATCACAAGAATGAGTTACAAACTAAAATTATGACTGTGTGACCTTACAGACATACACACAGACCTGAAATAGTATCCACCTACATCCTTACCAGTGTACACTGGCTCTAACTTTTTCCATATAAAGCTTTCTCAGGTTCAGGGGTTTCCCTATGAGAGTATTCTTCTTTTAATTATAAGTATTTTATTTTAACTTAAAGCACAATAGTTCATCAATTATTCAAAGCTAATTTCTTTCTATGGCAAATCAAGATTCACCCCTCCCTAAACCCTGTTGTCTCTTTCCTTTATTGTACTTCTCCAATTAGAGGAATTTGCCTAGAATAGCTAGTTTTTCCTTACATACTTTTTTCCAATTATCATATCATTATACTAGTGTTCCTTACTGTATTCTTTTGGAAAAAGAAACTATCAGAGCCCATCAGCCTCCAAGGAGAACTGCCTTCACAATTACATTACATATTCCGAATTTCTAGGTCCATGTAATGAAAAAGGAGACTAGCTATTGCTACAGATTCCCAAAGGCTGCCCGAATGGTTTGGGCCCAGAATAAACATTATTGAGGAAACACTGCCCCCTGGTGTTACTTAGGAAGTTTAAAAGTGTTAAACGAAGTATGGGATGGGGCCAGCTCCTGCTTGTAATCCCAACACCTTGGGAGGCCAAGGTAGGAGGATTGCTTGAGGTGAGGATTTGAGACCCACCCTGGTCAACACAGACAGACCTCCATCTCTACAAATTTTTTTTCCCCATTCATTTATTTTATTGCATTTGAGGTTTCGGGGTACATGTGAAGAACATGCAAGATTGTGTGATTTTTTTTTAATTGTATGTCTTTATTTTTAATTTAATTTATTTATTTTTATTTGCAAGATGGAAAATTTCACAAGAAATTCTATTGAAATCAACAAATGTGAGTATATGCTAAGCACTGTTAATAGGCCTTATTAGCTCATAAATGAATGATAAGTAATTCCCTGGCACTCAGTTCTAGTTTTACTGGGCTCCAGATCAAAAATAAACAGCAGCAAACAGTTTCTCAAAAAGTCTTTCTATCCAGTCATCTATTGATGCCAAAGTATCACACATCCCCTGTGGGAAACTAAAGAAGAGAGACAAGGCCAGGTGGAGTGGCTCACACCTGTAATCCCAGCACTTTGGGAAGCCAAGGCAGGTGGATCACAAGGTCAGGAGATCAAGACCATTCTGGCCAACATGGTGAAACCCCATCTCTACTAAAATACAAAAAGTTAGCCAGGCGTGGTGGCACATGCCTGTAGTCCCAGCTACTTGGGAGGCTGAGATAGGGGATTGCTTGAACCCAGGAGGCAGAGGTTGCAGTGAGCACTCTAGCCATTGCACTCTAGCCTGGCAGCAGAGCAAGACTCCGTCTTAAAAAGAGAGAGAGAAGAGACAAAAAATGTCCTCTTGCCTTCAGATCCCTCTGCTAACAAATCTATACCCTTAGGCCTCCCGAAGAAGACCCTGTCCCCTAAGTGCTACTGACTGAAGCCCTGTCTGCTATTCCAAAAAAACTAGTCTTTAACATCCACTCTGAATTTCAAATAACATCTCTTGGGAAACATAAAGCTAGGAGTGAGTAGAGGATATTTTTCTCCTAGTCTTTGAAAATGAGGCTTTGGATCACACTAATCTGGGATTCAGATTCTAGCTCATTTATTCATAAGCTGATGGCTTTGGACAAGTGACTTTCAATCTCAGTATCCTACTCTGAAAAACAGGGATAATAATACTTATCCTGAATGACAGTTGTAAGGATTAAATGGTGAGATAATGTTTAGAAAGGTACCTAACAGTGGTACATATTCTACCCTCTTGCCAGAATAATCTTGACAAACCACGGACTGGATCGTGTTAATTCCTGTTTAAAGTTTTTCAATGAATCCTGTTGCTTTTGGGATAAAATCCAAACTCAGAATCCTTCAAGATCTGGCCACTGCCTCCCTCATTCCTCATGCCTTCCTATCTACACAGCAGTCATGAAGTTCCCAAACGTGCCCCACACTTACACATCTCTATACCTCTTGCCTACAATGACTTTTCTATTTATTTTCTCCTAGCTAGCTCCTACTCATCTTCAAAACTCACCTCAGTAACAGCCTCCTCAAAGAGGTTTTCTCCAATCCTCAACCATCCAGGGTCTACTGCAATCAAAGAACCTATCATACTTGATCATAATTTGCCATTTATCTGTCGTCTCACTAGATTATGAACTCCAGGAAGAGGCTATATTGTTTCATGTCTGGATAACCAACAATTAGCCCATAGTAGATGCTTTTAAAATGCTGAATAAATAAACGAATGCATAAAAACACCCAATACTCTGCTTCTTTTGCAAGGAAAGGATATATAACAGTCAAGAATCCTTTCGGCCTTCTGTCTAGTCAAGGAAAGTTTTCTGATTAGAGAAGAATTTCAAACAAGATTTGCAAAAAATATAAAAGCACCTAAAGCTTCATGTCAAAGCAGCTGACATCCTTCTCCCAACCTCATATTCGAATTGTACTTACCAGGGAAGGACTAGCTAGGATGCAGTGGAAATTCCAACAGAAGGGGAGGCCAGAGAGCTCACTCCGCACCCGTAAAATCAGTGTGTCTGCCACATGATCACAGGAGAAGGTAGCTTCGCTAGGGTGAGCAGCATCCTTCAACAATGGGCGAAGCAGATTATCCAAATGACAGAGGAAAGCTGCAGGAGGGGCAGTCAGCCGCTTGTTCAGCTCCTAAAGAGAGAGCAGTGGTACAGGGGAAGGGTGCTAAAAGGAAACGTCTTAAGTAACGGCAATGGAAAGCCCTGGTTAACATGAAGACAAAGGACATGAGAGGAAGGGGAAAGAAGAAACCAAAAAGGAGAGAGTCACAGAGATCTACTGGCCTACTTCACAATTCTGCCTTGGGCAAGATGAACTTACAGAAGGCTTATCAAGATCAAATGATGTATGTTATCATACACGGGGCACAGAAACTTTCTCTCTCTCTCAAAAAAAAAAGAAACTTTCTCTCTCTCTCTCTCTCTCTCTCTCTCTCACACACACACACACACACACACACACACACAGACACACACACGAAGATTCCAGGGCTATAGGTAGAAGTACAGGACATTAACTGGAATTGTCTCAACCCCATTCAACCTTCCTTCGGAACCTACAGGCCAGCAAGCTGGTTGGCGTTAACATCCCCAACCTTCACCAGGAAAGAATGGGATCCCCCACCACCTCACAGCAGTATTTCTCTTCATACTTACCTTGGCTCGCTGGCTGACCACACTAGTGTCCACCTGTTCATGCCACACCTGTTGAAGATCTGAAACCAACAAGGCATAGCCCTGGTTGGTGATGAAAACCTTGGCCAAGAGGAAGTTCTCAGCAAGCTGTAGCCATGCCCACGGCTGCAGCAGCAGCCCTTGCTCCAGTTCCTCCATCTGCAAGAAAGTCCTAATTTAGTAAAGTGCCTCACGATCATGCTGGCCTAGGAAGGGCACCACCCAAACCACTCTGTATCAACTAAAATCTCAAGAAAATCCTCCCTGATAGAAAGCATGGATTTATGTTCTCCCAGTATACAATCAGCTGAGCACTGACCTTACTACCTCTTGGCCACTAAAAGTATATTTAAAATCTTGAGGGTTTTTTTTTTTCCATATTACATTCCTAGAGGGCAAAAAATCTTTCTTCCATAGTGTTTAAGCCTCTGTTAATGTAAGTATGTCTGCTTTCTAATACTATAACATAATGTGGAAACCTAAACCCTTCTTGTTCCATCTCTATCACATTGCTAATAAATTTATGTCACTGCTGTCCTTTCCCAGAACTAGAAGAGAAGGAATAGTTCTTGTCTTATAAAACATCATATAGATCATAGTGTCAGGGCCAGGAAATTCAAATTATTTGATCATTATCTAAAAACAAAGTTTAGGAAGCTCTCAGGATTTTTTTTAAATCCCTAAAACCGAGATTATTCTTCTTTTTTTTTTTTTTGAGACGGAGTCCCGCTCTGTCGCCCAGGATGGATGCAATGGCATGATCTCAGCTCACTGCAACCTCTGACTCTGAAATCCTGGGTTCAAATGATTCTGTTGCCTCAACCTCCCCAGTAGTTGGGATTACAGGTGACTGCCACAACACCTGGCTAATTTTTTTGTATTTTTAGTAGAGAAGGGGTTTCTCCATGTTGGCCAGGCTGGTCTTAAACTCCTGACCTCAGGTCATCCGCGTCGGACTCCCAAAATGCTGGGACTATGAGCATGAGCCACCGCGCCTATCCCAAAGCAGAGATTCTTAATCTAGAGTCAATGCATGTGAATCCTCTAGAATTGTATGAAAATGTTGTGCATACATGCATATATGCATGGGGAGGGGGAAGAGGTCTATATCTATCATCAAACTCTCAAAAGGATCAACGACACAAAAAAGAGCTAAGAACTTTTGTCCAGGAGCAACAGAAAAGATCTAAATTCCATTTCAACAAGAACCAGATTGACTAGGAAGTCATGAATACAAGGCAGAGCACATCACAGAGGTAAAGACTGAGTTAACTTCCGCAGAACTCATCCTCCAAGTTCCCACTCCAGTGCACCGCCACCAATGACATCACGCCCAACTGCACAGCCTGGAGGCCCCTACGCCAGCAGCTAAAGTAGTAGCCTTAACCTAGTAGACAGAACTATGGTTGCTTGACAGGGAATGTGATTATTTTTCCTGTGGCGGAGAAAAAAAAGATGACAGTTTCCTTCATTATTCCAGTCTCCAAATACAAAATGAGGAGAAGTACCAGGAAGGAAAAATTTAGAATATAAATAATGAAATTCCTTATTAAGTCTGATTAACACGTCATTTCCATCTCAATCTAAACCATCATTCTTCCAAGCATAACCTAGTTTTCGAAATGTGGCTTTATGACTTAACTTGTGACATAAAAATATATATATACGCACATACACACACATATATATGGTGATTTTTATTTGTGGCAGCCTCAAAATCTTGAGTGTGGAGAAGAGTGTTTCCGTCACATTTCCCACACCCTGCTCTTACGGGGACCGAAGTGGTCATGGATGATTAAGCTGGTCCTAGCTGGACAAGAGCTCCGCATTGCCAAAGGTCACAAACACAAATAAAGTGGCCAAATCCTTTTATCTCCCTTACAGGCACTCCCCAGTGTACTCTAAGAGTTGCCAAAATTGGGTTTACTATTCTAGCCCATTCCTTCGGAAAGCCCGGAAGCTCAGAACCCTCAAATTGATGGGTTTTGTTTGTTTGTTGGCTAAAGGGGGAGGAGTTGAAAATGTGGCCAGGAGTAAGCGGCCCTATAAAAAGGCCTGATGTTACATTGGGCACCAGACCCCAGCTGCCTGCTCCCACTACACGCGTCCCGTTCTGCGTCCGAAGCCTCTATATTTCACCCTTTTCATTTTGCCTTCAAGGCTGCCTTTAACTTTCACATTAACTAGATTCACGGGTTTAGTTCTCTTGAGAGGAGGAGCGCTGAGGGGCATCCAGGTGGAGAGGTCCCTCGAGAACTGTTTATCTACACCGAGCTCCGCTCCTCAGCCGAGACCCCTCTGGGCAGTTCCTCCGAAGCCCTGCAGAGGGTAGTACGGCCCCAGAGAGCATTCAGGCTGGGCCCCGCCCAGTTCCCCCTGGGAGAGCGCTAACCCTAGGTCCCATCATCAAAAGCCCCACCCCAGAAGCCGCCAGGCGTCCTGCTTCAATCCGCCCCGGCTAGAAGAGCCTTCACCGTCCGCCTTCCCATTTCTACAGCACTGGCTGCACTGGGGCGTGGTCGGGACCCTTCAAGGGGCAACAAACCGGCCACCTGCAGCTTCGTCGTACCAAACAGGGTGCCAAGGAGTAACCCCACCACTCACGCCGGGCCGCAGCCGGCGGACTGCGCAGGCGCGGCCCCGCCCACCACCGGAGGCCTGCCCGGGTCCCCAGCAGCGCGCGCTCCCTCCTGGGAGAAAGCGCTCCAGCCAGGCCAAACCCGCAGCGTCTGAGCGGCCCCTCGCTGGCTGGCTCCGGCGGGCCTCCAGCACGAGCCCACCTACCGTCAGCGGCCGCGGGAGCTCCCACCCTCCTTGCCGCACGCACGCGCTCCTGCCCGCCCGCGCAAACCGAAAGGCCTAGAATAGAGGCCGATCTCCACCCCCCCGCCGAGAGGAGGCAGGGTTTTGAAACACAGGGGCGGGGCCTATGCCTGGCGTGGGTGGGGCTTCGGGGCCGGGGACAATGATGTGAGAGGAGCACCGCAGTGGCCTGGGTAACTGGAGGAGAGACCGGGTGGCCCGCTAGTAGTCACGCTGGCAGAGTAGAAAGAATAGCGGGCTAGATGGCTGGAGAGAGAAGCCCAGGTTTGGGTTCGTCAAACTCGAGTCACTTTTTTTCCCACCCCTACCTGTCCAGCCTTTTTTTTTTTTTTTTTGACAGAGTCTCACTCTGTCACCAGGCGCCAGGCTGGAATGCAGTGGCACAATCTCGGCTCACTGCAACCTCCACCTCCCGGGTTCAAGCAGTTCTCCTGCTTCAGCCTCCCGAGTAGCTGGGACTGCAGGTACGCGCCACCACGCCCAGCTAATTTTGTATTTTTAGTAGAGACGGGGTTTCAACATGTTGGCCAGGATGGTCTCCATCTCTTGACCTCGTGATCCGCCCGCCTCAGCCTCCCAAAGTGCTGGGATTACAGGCTTCAGCCACCGCGCCCTGCCCCAGTCTCCTTTTAACAAAATGAAGGGATTGAACTTCAAGAATCTCTCAGGTCCTCCACCAGCACTAGATTTGAAGGAAGGCGCCTCCCAGGCATAAGTCCCATAGTCTGACCTCATCCTTTACCTCTCCTGCCTCATTTCTCTATCGTTCCCGTACTTATGCTCCCTCACTACTGAGAAATTTCAAATGCCTCAGCTATATTGGACTTTGTACAAGTCATGGCTTTGCTCAAGCTGGACCCCGAACCTAAAAAATTCTCTACATCCATTTTCCAAAACCAAAAATCTTCCCCACTTGTCAAGGCCACCCTCAGTGCTGCTGCTTGCATAAAGCCTTTCCCACTGTCCCCAATCAGAATTCATTATCCTTTCCTCTTTGCTCCCACAGCATTATTTTAATCTATTACAGACTGCTTTCTGCTTTGCATTTTCATAATTACACAGGTCTTTTTAACCCGTGAATGCCTTAAGAGGGCATGGACCCTGTCTTATCTATATCTACCTCCAGGACCTTGCACATGGAAGATGCTCAATAAGTATTCAAGTGAATGCTGGGGTTCAAGTGGCATTGATAGTACACAGGCAAAAATCTCATTCATTTATGGTCCACTAAATCATGGCCTTTGTTCTGGAACAGTTAGGCCTAATTAAGACAAGTAAAGGCAACCCACCCTATTGGGAAATGGAATCTCTAGGTGGGTCCATGTAATACAAACACATATACCCTCTGCCTGTGAGAAAGAACAGCTTGGAGCTGACTCTCCAGCAGATGAGTTAGGGCTAAACTACCCAGGGCAGAAGTAGGAGTGCTGGTCATTTCTGGGACCTGAATCCTTCTCTGCTAGATTCAGGGCATGGCTCCCCTAAGCCAGGCAGCAAGTCTGCCATCTCTTCTGGCTCGGAGGAGCCTCCTTCCTCATCCCCAGGGTCTTCAGGCAGTGGGCAGAGGCAGCGGAGAGGCTGGGGGATGCAGAGACACAGGTTTTGGATGTGGAAAGGAAGTCCGTACACTTGAGCAGCCTTCTCCCTGGACTTCTGAGGCATTCGAGCCTCTTGGGCAGTGAAAGGAGATGGTAGCCCTTGACTTAGGCCTCGCTCAAGCTGTGTGCCTGCAAAAGAGAGGTTTGTCAGGCCATTGCCCAACCCGGGGAGTGATGGCTTTCTGGCCATTCCCCAGTCTGCTAGGGCCTGGCCTCAACTTACCAGGAATCGTGTTCTCTAGTAGGAAGCCCGAGAGTCCAGCCAGGAAGATGGGCTGCGTCAGCAGTGAATGCAGTAATACATCCAAGGGGCTCCAGCCTATGAAGGGTTGGGGCCAGGCAGGAAGGGAGCTCTGATTCTATATCCAGGCCCAGGAATCTTACTCTCGCAAATGTAAACCTAAGTCTTGGACTAAGGACAGATCTTTCTGAATTGTCATTTTATCCCCCTCACCCTTTGTCTCACTATTCTCCACTTTCCAAATCCAGGCCTTTCCCACAGGGTTTCTGCTCAACACCCTATGTTCTGATCATCCACATACCCTCCATGTAGGCTTTGACTGCTCCAGGATCCCTTTCTCTAGAAAGCTTAGTATTTAAGTCGCAACCTCTCATCGCTCTTTTTTTTTTTTTTTTTTTTTTATACAGTGTCTTGCTCTGTCGCCAGGCACCCGGCTGGAGTGCAATGGCACGATCTTGACTCACTGCAACTTTCGCTTCCCAGGTTCAAGCAATCCTTCTGCCTCAACCTCCCAAATAGCTGGGACTACAGGCACGCGCCACCATGCCCAGCTAATTTTTATATTTTAGTAGAGACAGGGTTTCACCATGTTGGCCAGGATGGTCTCAATCTTTTGACCTCGTGATCGGCCAGCCTCGGACTCTCAAAGTGCTGGGATTACAGGTGTGAGCCACTGCACCCGGCCTCATCTCCCATTTTTTTTCCTCTATGTTCTATCCTGGATTTTTCAACCTCAGTCCTACGGACATTTTTGGACCAGATAATTCTTTGTTGGGGGTACCGGTGCAGGGGTATGTCCTGTTCATTCTAGGATGTTTAGCAGCATCTTTCTATACACTAAACACTAGTAACAACCCCCCCTTCCTCCATTTGTAACAGCCCAAAATGCCTCCAGACATTGCCAAATGTCCCCATGGGGGCAAAATCACCCAGTTGAGAACTACTGTTCTAGACAAATTAAGCAATTTACTGCTCTCAGGACATATCCTAAGACCTGCTACTTCTGTGTCTTTGTATAAATGATGGTTCCTCCATCAAGAGTGACCTTCTTCTCACCAAATATGTTTAAAACTTACCGTCCTTCATGACCAGCTCTGTTACTGGCTCACCTCAAACAGAAGCCATCTCTCTTGCCAGTGAGCACCGTAGCTCTTTATCTGAACCTGCCCTGTGATTTTCCTACACATCTCATCTCTTTTGCTATACTGTAACAAAGGCAGGCATCTTTGTGTCCCGAATGGCTAGGATGGTGCTCAATAAATATTTGTTAAATAAATGGATGAATTATTTACACCAAAGCCCAGAGAAGGCTGTGGGGCCAGGAGTCAGGGGAGCCTGAAGCCTCAACTCCTTGCTTTCCTGCTCCTGAGCAACTCCTCTTCCATTCCACCTACCTGTGCTGAACAGGATCGGGGCGTCCCGAAACCATCTTGGGAGCAGCAGGGCCATGAAGATGGAGAAGCCCACAATGAAGATATTTCGCCCAGAGTCTATGTCAGCCAGGTAGAAGCTGGAGAATCCAGCAGACAAAACCACAGCCTGGGTCACCCCCAGCACCCCACCTGTCTCATACAGAAGAAATCAAGGGGGTCAGCAGGGGTTAAGGGGGCTCACATAGCATGGAGCATTGCAGGGCAAGCAGGTTGTGATGGGGAAAGAAAACCAAGAGACTGATTTCTTTTTTTTTTTTTTTGGAGACAGAGTCTCACTCTGTCACCCAGCCTGGAGTGCAGTGGTGCAATCTCAGCTCACTGCAACCTCCACTTCCTACTCCCCAATTCAAGCAATTTCTCCTGCCTCAGCCTCCCGAGTAGCTGGGATTACAGTTGTGCACCACCACACCCAGCTAATTTTTGTATTTTTAGTAGAGATGGGTTTTCACCATGTTGGCCAGACTGGTCTCAAACTCCTGACCTTAAGTGATCTGCCCACCTTGGCCTCCCAAAGTGCTGGGATTACAGGTGTGAACCACCACGCCTGGCCTGAGGCTGATTTCCGATTCTTCAGGAAGCCCAGAAGCCCAATCAAGAGACCAAGATGTTGGGCTGAGAAATTGAGGCTGACACATGCTCATATCTATCCATCCATCCATCCATCCATCCAGGAAAGCAATTTAGAAAGAAAGGATGTCATCCTAAATAATTGATTGAGCCACACTGGGCAGTACCAGTTCAATGCCAGCCCTGTTGATGCATCCACTCACCAAGCACAGGCAGCGGGATGGTGGTAAGGAACTGAGACAACCTGGGGGAGAGTCCAAGCGCCACGCAGAATAGCCCCACTAAGTGAGCCACTTGCTGAGATCCAGCCTGCATGAAGAAGAGACACTGGAAAACACAGCCACTTCCTCCACTGTCCCAGGTCTTTGCCTTACTGGCTCCCTCTCATCATTTGGATCCCAGCTCAAACATTACTCTTCCAAGAAGCCTCCCTGGCCAGTCTATCTAAACGTGCCTCCTTTCCACCCTGCTACACTGATTTTTTTATATAGCACTTAATTGCTTTCTGAAATTGTCTTCATCTTTTTTTTTTTCTTTGAGACAAAGTCTCACTCTGTTGCCCAGGCTGGAGTGCAGTGGCGCGATCTTGGCTCACTGCAACCTCCACCCCTTGAGTTCAAGCGATTCTCCTGCCTCAGCCTCCCAAGTAGCTGGGATTACAGGCATCTGCCACCATGCCTGGCTAATTTTTGTATTTTTAGTACAGACGGGGTTTCAACATCTTGGCCAGGCTGGTCTTGAACGCCTGACCTCGTGATTCTCCCACCTTGGCCTCCCAAAGTGCTGGGATTATAAGCGTGAGCCATCACACCTGGCCCCTTCACCTTTTAAAAAATTTTTTTATTTTTTGAGATGGAGTCTTGCCCTATCGCCCAGGCTGGAGTGCAATGGCACAGTCTCAGCTCACAGGAACCTATGTCTCTCAGGCTCAAGTGATTCTCCTGCCTCCCAGGTAGCTGGGATTACATGCGCAGGGCACCATGCCCAGCTAATTTTTATATTTTTAGCAGAGACAGGGTTTCACCATGTTAGCCAGGCTGGTCTTGAATTCCTGGCCTC